GAGAGCCTGGAACAACCTATATACAGCAATGCTGTGGGTACTGATATCCTACCTTTTTTTCAGGAAAGAAACCTGATGAGATCCCCAGATCGGTTAGCTCTGGTTGGGCCAAGTGGTCTCTCATTTGTAAACTTTCTTTTATTTCAATCTTTAAAATATGACCGTGTTCATTCTCCTCTGTTGGATTTTTCATATTTTCCCTTAGTGGTAACAGTGCAAAAATGTAGATGACAGAAAACTTAACCCAGACTTAAAATGTACAAAACTGAAAATCTATAAACCTAGAAAAATCTCCCCCCTCCCCTTAATGACCCATGGAGGGCTTTATTTTTAGATTTTTTTTTTAAATGTCTATCTCCGTGAAGATTTGGACTGAAATCAGTGTCTGGCAGCCAGCAGGAAGTGCAGCCGTGGACAGGCTAAATCTGCTCTGTGGTGATTACGAGTGCAGTAAAGCTTGCCCAACCACAGGGATCTCCAAGTCATTACCCCCTGGCTGAGATAGCAGCAGCATTGGAGATTTGCATTGTGCCGTTAACCACTTCAGAGCCTGTAACCCTTGGTTCTGCTGAAGTGGAGATTCGCTGCAAGTTTGGTATCTATTGCTTTAAAGTGTGATCTTTGCCATTGAAAAACAAGAGTATGATAAAGTTAACCTGTCCTGTCTTTTGGAGCTTTTGAAGATTAAATTGCTCAACTACAATCTGTAAGTGGAACAACTTAAAGAGAAATGTGTCAACTGGAAACAATACGTTGCTTGCAAAGTAATTCACTCCCACTGTTGTTAAGGACGTGTTGCTGCAGGGCAGCTTCTACAATTACTGTATTAATAGAGTGGGACAGTAAAAAGGAGTTCTTGCATGCTGTGCATTTAGACTTTTTATACCACAACTTGTGTGAAATGTGTGCAGCAGGTTTGATAGAACATCTTTGCTACCAAGAGGATTTCAGAATGGACTGCTGCTTGGACTGTAAGTCAAGAGATATGCTAAAAAGAACATTTTTGATCAAGGAGGATTAAGACAGTTTGTTGACGAAAACGTCTTTTGCTAAAGGTCAAGTTCTACAAACGTCCTGCTTTAGTTGCTTCACTTGGTATGGAAAAGGAATGCGAAACTCTTTACTATCCATTGAAGCTTGTAGAGGAAACGATACAACCTCCACAGTACAAAATGAAATGCCACACTAAAGACAAGAGTGGATTAAATAAATCAATAAGGAGAGGAAGGGCCATTTAACAAATATCAAACTTCATTGGCTAGTTTATCCATCAAAGGGCAGGTGTGAGCAAAGCAAAATTGCCTTTATAATAAGGTCTGATTCGGCATTTCAGACATTGTGACAAAGGCACCAAAAGGTCAAACTAGAGCTTATTTATTTTGCAAATGTGAGAGCCTGCTGTCTATTTCTTGAGCTCTCTGGCAAACTGTCAAGTTGAAAAAGAAATCTGTCACAACGAACATGCACTCATATATGCCCAGGTTGCTGTACTTTGACTTGGCAGAACGATTGTGCCTACTGTTTGTTTCTGGTAGCAGAAAACTGTTGGAATTCAGCACATGAAAGTAAGGGGCCGAACATAAAATGAAAAAGGACAACAAAGGCCGAAGTACGAATATTTATGAAAATGACCTTGCATATACCTTTGTAGTGCCACTGAATTGATTTTTCTTTTGTTTTGAATTGTTTTCCAGAGGAATACTTGAAACAAATCTTGGTTTTACACACTGGAATTGAAGAGATGTGACTAGCATTAAACTTCTCCCAACTGCCTCCTACCAAGGTTCTTATGATACCACATATTGAGAGCTATAAGCCTCATTTACACAGTGCAAACAATTTTTGAACTTTTTAAATGAAACAATACTGTAGAGGAACAAGTAAAGGTTTATGTCATGCTGAAAAGAGAAGAAAGGAAACACAACAAAATATAGAAGCTATACAGGTATCTGTCCTACGTTTTAATCTGTGTGGTTGCTGGTGTGCAATGTACAAAAGAGGTAAATGATAGATGGTGCATGCTTTCAGAGCACGGAGGTGAATGGCCTTCCTTCCCTACTAAAATACCAGTTACCCTACCTACATTCCATAGGAGTGTCCTATCCTGTCTGAAGTACTGGGGACAGCCCCACAGACCCAGCCCTTTCCTCGGTGTGCTGAGGGATGGGAAAGAGAGGTTATGTAACTTCACAGGAATGCCTCTGAAGACAACGGCAAATTTGGCTAGTGTGTCAGCTCAGACAGTCTCAACATTTTAAAGGAAATGTTTGGCCAAATAAGCAAAAAAAGTAACATACAATTCCCATGCAATAATGTACTGAAACAAAGAAATGGCAGATTGGCATGGCATGACCTATGAGAAGGTCACTTTCGAGTTGCACACATCACAGAATTACTGTTATAATGTTTGTCAATGGTAAACAGTGCAGGTTCTGGGCTGATCCGTTGCTAGTGACATTCTGACATTTTTAGTTTTACTCGCATTTTCTGTAGTTGGTAATTAAAGAAAACCACAATATGGTGAAAACACTTTAGCAAGATGTCTGCTTTCATAGTTTCCAATTTCATTTACTGTACGTGTAGACTGTTTTGTTTATAAAAGTGAGTCAAAGAAAAGCATTTCTAAATTGCTCCCAAATGGAGATAGATATAAAAAGGTTTGCTTAATCTGTCATTTCAGCCAGTTGCATCTATATTTCCTTTTGATTTGCTTTGTGGAGCTGTAACCTTATTAAAAGCTTTGCATTAAATGCTCTGAGATTATAATGTCAGGTTTTTTAAATGCATCTACAGTGCTTTAATTTGGAATGTATATTTGTCCAGATACTTGGTCAGGTGATACACAACCTTAATGCATTTAGAATTCCACAGGTTGTACAATTGCAATACAATTGCAAAGTATTCAGAGGGATATTAATCTCTGCAGGATTTAGGAAGATTGACAGAGTAAAACAGAGACAACTGATTTCTTATCTATAAAATGACAGCCCTGTTTAGCTGGAACTGCAAGGGACTAAGAACTGACATTATTTTAAAGAAATGAATTTCGTGGAGGAGAAAGAGGGAAAGGCTGTTGACACAGATCCAACATAACACAAAGTTAAGACTTTTGAATTCTTCCCTGAAAATCTGAGGGTAATTCTGACAGTCTGAATGTTTGCAGTCTGGCCTGCTGAGCTATACAACATGCTTCTTTTTCATTTAGTGACAGATTTGATCAAAGGATTTTGAATTTGTGTGTGGTAGCAACTGAAGCACTAAACCAGACCTACTGTGGATCAGTTTAAGTGGAGCTCTTTAATCTTTTAACAGGGCTGCGGTATAGATTCATTAAATGTACAACACAGCAAGATCCCATCTGAAACTTAAGAACAAGGTGTTTCTGGCAGAAAATCCTGTCCATTTGACAGGGAGAGAGTGCAGGTGTTTGAAACACAGGTATATGCTCCTGTAAAGGAGCGGTGATTTGTATTTGTGGCTTCTGCTACTTGTCATAGTCCACATTACCTGTCAGCTACAGTACATTACCTGTAAAGAAGAGAATAAATATCAATGATGCCATGATACAATATTGCATTTTTGTATTTGCAGTGATAATATCATATTGCATTTTTATATTTTCAAAAGAGGGGAAAAAGCATGTGGTTTATTTGATAAATGCAGCAAAATGCACCAAATAAATTCTGCTGCATTCTTGTATAAGCCTTTTTCAGCTTTTTTAGACTAATTTAAAATGATATTGAGATTTAATTTGAACACCGTGTACGGTACTTGCACATTGCCGTTTTATACCCTCTCAATTTGGAATGTGAAAATGTCTAGCCATTTGTCTTACCATTGCAACCCCTGTGTCCCTGAATTCGGAGAAAGAGGGGCTGCCTGGAATTTCTTGACAGGTCAGCCAGTGAGCGCCTGTACCTAATGTCAAATTCTGTGCCTTGGAGGTGTGTTGGCACCAGCTAAGGGGCCATCCAGTCTCTCGTTGATCCCATTACCAGCTCCCAGCAATTGCTGCTGAGCTGCCCACTGCCCCCCAGCAGCGTGCTGCTTGACCAGTTATCTGCCACCTGGCAGTTTGGGCTGGTATGAAAGTAGTAACTGTGAAAGGGCAGTGTGGCTGCACCTTCATCAGTTTTTGGTTTTGGTCCATTTTGGTTGCATGCCTATTGAAGCTATGGAGCTGAACTGTGATTTAAGAACCATAAGGAAGGTTGCAAATGAGAAGAGGGCATTCATGCTCCCTCGCCCGTTCGGTAGTTTGTAGCTAATTGGTCCAAGAATCCTTATCCAGCAGTTTCTTAAAACAAACAGGTTATCAGCTTCAACAGCATGGCCATACACACCACATTTGTTACAAGTGGGGAGAAGGATTGCCTGCTGAATTCTTGAAATAATCAATAAACAGTATCAGTCTTTATACAGTCTAGCTGGAGAATGAAAGGCCTGATAGCACAGAAAAACAGAGAAAGAGAAACAGCAGAAAGAACTTACGCTTTCAGAGCTGCCTTGTGCTTGGTTGTGGTTATTTTCCAGAGATTTCAAGGCATTGAGTAGCATTTGTTAATATTAATAACTAGTCAGTAGTGTGGTGTTGTGATTAATGTAACCCATGTGCATTTTAAAATTCAGTTGCTAATGAATTAATCACACATCCATCATCTGTTTTACACAGTTATGAAACCACATTTTATGGGCACCTTAGACTGCAATGTAGCGTATTACAGTAAATCCAATGAGAAAAGCTTTTTAAAAATTTTGATTTTTACAGCGAAGGTCTCTCAATGAAATCACCCCCAGACAACATGAACGTTGGTGGGGTAAAAAAAAAACAGTAATATTAAAAGTAACCAATTATCGGACGTCCCTGTCTGGGTGTCTTGTGAGCACGGTGAGTTTGGGACCTCGCTGGTCATTTGTAAGTGCAAGTTGTCCTCGCAGCGGTGTTCGTGGTGGAGCGCAGCGAGCCGTGCACCGGGACGCGTCACGTGACACACGGCAATGCCTTTTTACACATCAGAAGCGAGACCGCGAGAGAAAGCAGCCTGCTGGATGCGCAGCGGAGAGCCCAGAGCGGCAGAGCATCTCTCTTAGCTTTTCCCTGTCTTTTTATTAGTAGAGCCAGAAAATAAAAGGGCACTGCTGCATTTAGTTTTTGGTTGCAACTTTATCTTCCCGTTAGGTGTTCGTCCCCCGGACTGCCTGCTCCTGTACCTCCTGAGTTCACCTGTACCGTCGCTAAGAAGAGCACGCCTAGCTTCACGGGACTTTCTGCATCAACAGACTACGAGACGGCCAGTTATTGCTGGTAAGATATCTACCTCAAAACAAATCAAATATATCAAACATGTCGTGTATATACACGCATACAGTGTAATGTATGGTCTGCAAGGTGCTAGCGGTCAAAACGCATAGAATATTCCTTCTATACCGTATTTCGGAATGAGGTTTTGTGCACAAAGCTGTCATTCTCGGATTTTCGTCACCACAGGTGCTGCTAATCAAATTCCCTGTATAGTAGGAGTGGCGGCGGTGTGCCCGAATTGCTACAGAGCGGACGAGTAAGACTTAGCAATGATGATAAAGCAGCGCAGTTACAGATCCAGAAACCCGCGGAGTTCGCTGACGATTCTTATTTGTAAAGGTGCTTTTAAACGGTTAAGATCCAATTCTTATGAATGCTTGTGATGCGGAGCTAAATGGGACTTTGAACTTCATGAGATGTCAGTTCTTGGGGAAATAGAATAATCAATTAAACCCATGTTTTATCAAGCTGAGACCAGACTGTAAGAATTAAACTGTCAAATGATGTTTGGCTATTATTATTATTATTATTATTATTATTATTAATAATAATAATAATAATAATAATAATAAAACTACATGTGACTTTTAAAAATATATCCTGTTTTTCGTTTCTTCAAGATCAGTGACGGAATGAGTTTCATTCCCTTTTTTTCTAACAAAGAGCCACCGTCTGCTTCTTTCTTGCTCGGGATGCGTCAGCTCTGGACAACGGGTTTTATTATTTAAACAGTTTTATGCTGTCTCTCCTACTGTAGTTAATTTAGTGCTGTACACTAGGGAACAAATCCTTAAGGTGTAAGTAAAGGAGTGGTAATAATAATGTTGGAATAAGGACAACAGCATAGCGGCTGTAATAATATCATTATTATTGATGATCATGATGAGGGCTGGTACTACAATACTAATGATTACTTGTTTCCTGAAATATTACCTTTTAATGATTTATCTGAATCTTCTCAATTTTCCTTGCCCGGCCTGGGTAAGACTATGGTTTGTCATGCTGACGTCGCAGCTGAGCAAATTCCTTGAAACAAATGAATAAAATTCAAATCCTGTTAAAATACTGTTCTAAAAAATAATTTTTGCAACTGAACAGATGAGTTGCTGAATGCAAGTAAGACCATGAATGTCTGACAATTTTATAGTTTACAGATGAATATAAGTTCGATTTTTGTGGGTGTGAATATTTACTCATTATGAGTTGTTTCTTAATTATCTGGATTTTTCCATTCTGCCTTGAATGTTGAGCATACCTAAAGTACCGTAGCATCCTCCACTTCGTCACTAGTCATAGTCCTGTATATGTACTGTATGAACATATACAGTACTGTATAAGTTTGCGTGGTTTTTTCACAATTATCCTGGCATAAAGATGAAGACGTCTAAGCAGTTGAAAATGGTTTTAAATATTCAGCACTGTCATGTACGGTACCAGTTGCTTTACAGTGTAATGTAATGTTGTGTGGCACATAGTGGCAAGGTAATAAAAACCCAGTGTATTAATGAACACTCAGGATTAGCACACAAGCTTGTTCCTAATAGATATGAACAGTCTTCCTCTTTATAGATGAGAGGATATGTACTGTAAAATGAAACACGCCACTCCAATTTGCCCAGGCAGTTATATATGAGCCATACCACTGAGAATTGATTGTGCGAGATACTTTTTGTGTTGTATGCATATAAAATCCAGGTCTTCTGATCTGCTGTGTTTTCAAAGTGCATGCTTTTTGCTTGCTGTATTAACTTTCAGTAGAATGGATGTACGGTATGCTGTATGTTTTGATTGTATCATACCATATTTAGACAGTGAGAGAGCCTGTTTTTGCCAGTAATTTTGAATGACATAAACTGAAAAGCATGCTCTGGGAACAATTACAATATTTTGCAATTTTTGGTAACTTCTGAAGCTAAAGACTGTCCGTCTCAGGGGTGCTGAAAGTTGAGAGATACAGTAGCTTTGCATGGAGCTATTCCATGCCATATGCCTTATCTACCTGTATCTTAATGTGAGCTTCACTTAGCCACTGCATATGTGATTGTATGTTTAGAGTTTCAATGCTTGTTTCTGAAACCAAAAAATATATATTTTTGTATGTGAATCAGGCTGTCCTGAAAACCAGCTTTTAGTATGCTGTTCATTTTATTGATCTGAAACATGTACAGGGCAGCTTGGGGGATGAGTGGTTAGCATAGCTGACTTGCAGCACTGGGGCCCTGGGTTTAAATCCTGACCTGGAGTGCAATCTGTGTGGAGTTTGTATGTTCTCCATGTGTTCACCTGGGTTTCCTCCAGGTGCTCCACTTTCCTCCCATGTTTCAAAGACGTACTGTTAGGTTAATTGGTTTCTTGGATGTGTGCATGTTTGTATGGGCTCTGCAATGGACTAGCATCCATTGTGTACCCTGCCTTGCTCCTGTTGCTTGCTGGGTTAGACTCTGACTGTCAGTAAAGTCACTAGGGACTTGTGGGAAAAGGTGATTGGACCCTATTGCGTTGCTGAGAGTACAGTAGGTGTCCAAAATCCTAGGAGCAAAAGGCAGTATACGAGGTCGGGGTAGACAGGCTTGGTTGGGTTTCGGAGAGTCTGGTCGAGAGTAAACAAATCCAAAAGACGCTAGACTGAGACGAAGTCGAAGCCGGTGACAGAGCAGGGTCATGTATCCAGAAATCAGGTCAGAAAGGTATCCAAATCCAATAGCCGCTAGACAGAGACGAAGACGAAGATGAAGCCGGAGACAGAGCTGGGTGGGGTATCCAGAAGTCAGGTCAGAAAGGTATCCAAATCCAATAGCCGCTAGACAGAAATGAAGACGAAGCTGGAGACAAAACAGGGTCGGAATCCAGAAGTCAGGTGAGTAAGGTACTGAATGCTCACAAGAGAAAGGCTCAAGTCGATCTCAACAGTGAGCGAGGACTGAGAGGAGTGAGAGGGTATAAATAGGAAAAAGGGCGGTTCGTGACACTGACTCCCCTGTGACCTTGAATTGGATGTACAGGTCAAAAACGGATGGATGGATGAAAGATGTACAGTAAACTATGCAGTGCTGTAATCTGACTGCAAAACTGCCTGTGGGATGATTTTGTGATTGAGTCAATGCAGAAAGTATTTAAATAATACTGTAAACATTAGTCAAAGCAAACAGTGACAGATTATTGCACCGAATATATCAGGAAAGTAAGACCTGAGGAAGTCAGAGCATGCAGCTAATCTTTTTTTTAGTTTATTAGATTTACTAGTCTGGTACTACCTGTACTAATGGCAGTGCAATTTTCAGGAGGTGGAAGTCTTTACAAGAATAATTAAAACATGACTGCATTCTGACTGTATACATTTAAACATTTATTTTCATTGTAGCTACTCTACTGTATACTGTATATGAAAATAATATACTGTACAGTATTTTAAAATAATACATCTTTTTTTATAAGGTTGTAACCTCATTCCATAAACTAGTTACATCTCCTTACCCTTGTGATATTTGAGTCATTAAGTGCTATACAAATTAAATTGGATCTTTGTTGATGTTTCTTTTTTCAGCTACAGTATTACAATGAAGCAAACTCTAGCAAATTATACTTTTCATGTGCTGCATTACTAAACTCGTGCTACAGTATACTGTACCTGGCAGTTAACATTAATTGAATTGTACTGAGTTGGGTGAAATGAAATTGGGTTGTTTCTTTTCTCTGCCTGAGTCTACTCTGCTAGCAGTGACTAGTGGAGCCTGAAGTCTGGTAGTTAGCTGTGATGCCTTTCAAACCAGGTGTTAATAAACTCTGCTTTGTGTGCTCAGTTCTTTGATGTATTATTGATATCCTGCTCATCTCTACAGTGGAATTTTTTCAGAAATCTGCACACCTTTGAGGTGAAGACAGTTTGATGTTTTTTCCTCATTTTTTTAACAATTGAACAGTTTTCTGGGCTTATCACAAGAGGATTCCAAGACAAGCAGGAACGTGTGATCTTTGGCTAGTCATAGGCTTATTTTCTCATGACACACAGTTTTTATCCTTTCCCCAGTTATCTGGGAATATGAAGCTTCATTTTTATGTTTTTTAAATATTTTCCTGGATTGTCTCAGAAGAAAAGGGTCCATCCTTCTTATCTATGTAGATTATCTTACTGAATGCAATATTCACATCATGAGCCCCTGCAGTAATCACTTCTGGAACACATTAAATAAAGACATTTACCTCTCTCTTGCTTAATTTATTTCATACTGTACATTCAGATATAAAGACTTTTTCAGTACCCCTGTTTCTTTCTTCGTTTTTCTGTCCAACTTTCCTGGATGCAACCCACTTTGTAGGTCTGTATTTTCCTAAAGAACCTGTATTTCTGGCCATAGAGTTCAGGTAGTAGGAGATTTAAAGCCCAACTATTAAAGAGCTTCCAGCAATTGCCTGACAGTCTCATACATTTGTTGTGTTTGATGATCTTGCCTTAATGAATATCCCCCAGTCCTCCTCACCTCCTGATACTGTCATCATACTACAGTACTTGCTGTCCAGATTGCACACTGGTTGCTGCTTTCGAATATGCTACACCCTAAATATAGTTTTACAAGAAAATGTGTATTAAAATCCTCTGAATTCTGGCAAGTCGCTACACGACATGTTATGAAGAAAACAAAGCGCATCAGGCAAATGTTTCGTTTTCTAGACTTAAAGATTTAAGAATGTTCAGACTCAATCTCATGGCAACAAATTGTTTCTGTAGCAGAGTGGAGGGGGCTGGGCGTTTTTGCTCCTCTGACCTGTCAGAGTCATTTGTCTGTAGACACTCTGAAAAGCTACACATTTCCTGACACCAGAGTAATCACCAATTGGAAACACTGTGCATCTCTTACTGACATTACTGTAAAGCCTGAAGGTGCCTGTCAGTGTCAAGATGCAGGAGTGCCTGTTCCAGAGCTGAAAGAGACCTGGACTGACTAAGTCCCACCCCTACCCTGGTGGAGTTCTGTCAGCAGAGTGCTGCTGCTGGGAGAATCTGG